ACAATGGTTGTGTCAGAAACATAAGTAAATTCCTATCCTTACCAAAATAATTTCAGTGTGTTATTATTATTAGCACCTTAAAAAATACTGCAATTGTGATGTAAAACTAAAGAAAATCGATTTGCCTTTAATGGTATTTGCCGTAGAAATTCTTAGTAATACACTAGCAACTTAAATGTTTTTTGGTATGGATGGATGTTTGTTACTCTTTCACGTAAAAGTACTGAATGAAGTTTGATGAAAATTGGAACAGAGATAGATTACAGTCTGGAATAACAATAAGGCTTTTCATCTTAATAATAAGGACTTGAAGAAGTTAGTGCGTATTAAAGCAGTATTATCGTGAATTTATATGCACAAGATTATTCCAAGCCTGAGATTAGTATATCTTTATTAAAATGTGGTATGTAGAAAAGTAATCACGTTCATATATACATATACACGGAAAAAACTCATAAAACAACGATTGGTTAAGTTTCAATTTTCTCTGCCGTAAATTTATGCAGTTATTTGCCAGTTTATCGGAAAAACTATTTTTATTACATTTACGTGGATTTTTTGCATCTGCGTTTGTAGTTTCTGCGCTTTAGATGGTATGTTGGTAGTTGATATTTTATTAAATGTTTGGCCAAAAGATCGAGATCAGTTGTGACAGAATCAGGTACTTAGGTGATTGTCATCATCATCATAATTATCATCATCATCATCAGCAGCATCAGCTTATAAGTGTTCACTATTGAGTTAAGGCCTCTTCTTAGATGACTTAATTATTAAACTGTAACTAAGTTGGTTAATTCGGACGGGGCACGGATAGATTCAATGACGGACAAATCTTCCAGTTTCTGGATTGATTTCATCGTTATCATCAGTAGCCTGTTGGTGCCCACTGTTGACCAAAGGTCTCTCACACGGAGAAGAAGCGACCATTAATCATCACCTTGACTTAGGCTGGCTAAGAAACGTATAAATGAAATCACTACTTCGCGTTTTCGTATCTTAAATGAAAACCAACCTTGGACAAATATTTGAACCAACTCCTTGTGAGTTAGGATTTTTTTGATAGTGATTGATTTATATTAATAGATAAACTTCATATGCAATTAAATTGTTTTATAGAATATTTTATAGTAATTATAATGATTTTATACCCAGCCGCTTGCGCAAATAATTAATCTTTTAAGCCTTATAATAAGCATTATAAGGCGAAAGAGTTTGTTTGTTTGAACGCGCTACTCTCAAAAAGCTACGAACAAATTTAGTTACTTATTGCTATATAGATTATTTATCGAGGAAGGCTTTAGGCTATATAACATCACGCTATGATCTGTAGGAGTCGAGCAGCGAGTGAAACCGCGTGGGAGTAAGATAGTCCATTTATCGGAAAATTGTTGTTCCGGGTCTGGGTGTGATGTGTATGTAAAATTATATGTTAGTTAGGCGGAAATCTTTGTATAGGACAAAGTATTTAAAAAAAAGAAGTCTTTAGACCAATAGGACCCGAGTAGCGGGTGAAACTGCGCAAGAGTAGCTAGTTAGGATATAATAATATGTAGACACATTTGACACGTGCTAGTGATATCAATGAGTTCTTAATTTGTTTATTTTTGTACTCTTTTATTATTCTATTGTTTAGCTTACATAATATGATAGCTCTTTAGAAAGATGGTAATGTTTTCTTTAACGTAACTTTTATGTTTTTTGTTAAGATAACAATAATTATGTATTATTATACCCTATATGGAGTTTCTAATTATTTACAACCAAAAATATATTTATACATGACTTTCTCGAGAAATAATTCCTACATTGTAATGACAATAATCTAAAATTGCTCTTGAGGTAAATAAATCAAGTATTTACAGAATCAATCAAGACGATGCGTGGTTTTTAATTAAGAACAAGGTTTCTTCTTCTAATTATGGGCCCTAGACCTTGTAGAACACGTCTGCACCATCAAGATATCACCATCTATCATATACCACATTTCACATATCTTTATTAGAATTTAAACCTTATTCTTCTCGCAATGGAGTTACATTTTGGTAGTTGGGTACTTTTGTAATGGTGTCTGCCATACTTTAATGTACTTTCAACCTTAATACATTACAAAATAAAGTTATATTTAGATAGTTTATTACATTTCTGATGCGGTTTTATCTTCTTAAATCCGATTTCAACCTTTTCAATTTCGCAATAAAGTCGGATTTGCTATAGTAGTTGGTAATATTTCTAATACTTTATTAAGTAACGAATATAATCAACGCACTTTTACTTATCGTCCTATAAATGTTTTACTGCTAATTGGTACCTATGTACCGATACTTTTACAATTGTTCATAGAGTTCATAATATGCTCGAAGTGAAATTGCAATAATTCATTGCGTTTTTAAAGGCCATTGTTATTCAATGTACTTAGGTAATATGTTATAGCCATTGTTGGCTCTTATTCTCAGTAATGATACGGAGTTTAGATCTTAAATAACCCATGTAGGTGCTAATATGGCGATAGGATCACCAATGAGGTTTGATTTGTTGCTAGTGAAAAGTTTTTGTTTTTATGGAATAGGTCGGCAAACGAGGAGATGGATCCATTACCACCACATTGTTAGGGATAGTGGATCACACGAAATCTGGGTCCGTGTGGGAACCGAATCAGTGAAACGTTGCACAGCAGCCAGTTTCCTAGCCAACCGTGCAGTCACTTATGATTGAAGTTTCTTTTTATTTCAATTCCATTTTCTGGTTTGGTTGATACTCGACTGCACGGCTGGCGCGGTGGTTGGGCAACTGGCTGCCGCGCAACGTCGCGGGTTCGATTCCCGCACGGAACAACTCTTTGTGTGATCCACGGATTATTGTTCCGGGTCTGGGTGTGATGTGCATGTGACATTGTATGTTTGTAAACGCACCCACGACACAGGAGAAAATCCTAATGTGGGGCAAAAAAAAACATATATGTGGTGTAGTTTCCTCTATTGTGCATACTAGTATAGAACTTATAAGAGTAAATCTTCAGTGAAAAATACTTAAGTATGTAAAAGTAATTTTATTACCTAGTTCTCAAAATATAGGTGTGTCACTATTTATTCTTGTTATAGTAATAATGTTTATTTTTAATTCCTTTAATGATCAGTTGCGTAGCGACAGATACCAAACAAATAATAATAAATTACCAAATACAATAGCTATTTGATTAATTACTAGACAAGAAGATATTGCAAGTAATTGCTTGACAGATAATATATTATTGTGTATGTCTACTTAATGACCAGGTACAAGCAGTAGTACATAACACAAAAATGTAGTAACACTTTTAATATTAAACATTATTTAGTATCAGATCTTTAAGCTCTCTGGTTGATAAAGTTTACGTATCATAATTATGTTGCGTTCCATCTTTTATGTATGTATACATAATAAATGTATAAATTTTCTTCTCATAATTTTCTGGACTATTTTTATTTTTAATTGGAAATGAGATAGTTATTTTATTTTTGGCATTTAAATGGGTTTAGTATAACTGGGTTTTGGGTATAAAAATGTTTCAAAAATATGAATATTATATTAAATTATTGGTGAATGTAAAAAAGAGGTACCAAGTCCTTTTTTGAAGTCGGTTAAATAACATTGATTCCACTGTAGTCTGTGTTGTTATGTTTGTTTTTTTTTATCATATTTATCTTCGAAGCTGACCTTACGGTATTGATCGCTTCATTAATACATTTCGTGATTAAATTATAGTAGCATGTCAAGTAATCAAAAGGTACAATCGACAAAATAATCCGTATACATCACAGGTGTTTACATGTGGATGTGTAAATATATTGAACGAATACTTTTTGGAATAACTTTAAGTATACCATAGTTGTCGTTCTTGCGTACAATTTAAATTATTGCTAGCTATAATTATCGAATCAGTGCTCAGAAGCCCCATAGTGGATCATCAAATCCAGACTCTTACATTCTTCCATCAACACCCTCTTAATAATTAGTGAAGTATTACTTTCACACAATACTTAAATAAGTCAACAATATATTTTTTAATGTTTATGTACCTAAACCTTCTGCTGCCTGTACTTGATAGTCACCAGTTAGCCTTCAAGGTACTTGTACATTTGTCTCGGGAGACTAGTTCGCATAATAATTCATGTTTAGTAAGACGTGTTGATTACATTCCGTGCAGTTTAAAAATCAAAGATTAAATAACAAAATAAATAATATAGCAAGAAAGTTTCTGATAGAATTATTATTTATTGGGTAATTAAAAAGTACCGTAAAACGGATTGAAAATCGTTTACTTAATGGGAGTCTGGCCTGAACCAGTGAAAGCAACAGGGTGGTTTTTTTTTCAATAAGAGTCAGGTATTCCTTCTTGCCTCACCTGAGAGCAGGAGAAGTGATTTGACGATTTTCCACAGATAACAGAGGTGAAAAATGTAGGGTTTTTTAGTACCTATCTCTTCCTATGTCCTCTTTTCTAGGATATTTACTCTGTTTTACTATAATTTAAAAAAGAACCGTTACAATTTGACATTTGACTTACATTAAATGTTAATTTATTTTGTCGTTTGATGATATATCAATAGTTATGTAATCTATATTTAGGAAGGTAAAATACATAGTTATGTAATGTTATGAGCAAATGTTTTCTAATGTTTTATTTCGTCATAAAACTTTTATTTATTTGTTTTATGGAATTTATTGCATCGAAGAGTTTTACATAACGAGTTTTCGTTGTGTTAGCTATTTCGAATACAATTATTTGATTTAGTTAGCATAATTATAATTAGGTATGTTGTAAGGAAATGTTGACTTTGTTCCTTAAATTTTACATAACTAGTTTTCCTATTTCGGTGTTTGATATATTAATATACTTTGTTCTCATACAAATCGGAAATGAACTGTTATTATAATAGTTCGAATCGATGTTCGTCATTTACTTCGAATGTGACTTACTTATAATGAATTGTATATTAATAATGGCTTCGTTTTGTCCACAGATAAACAAACAAACAGAATAAAGATGGCTGGTGTTGCAACAGTATTGAAGCCGCGCGGAGTCGCGTGCGCATCTTCTAGTCATAGATTAAGCCTGTGTTTTGTTTTTGTCTTATTATTAGGTAAGTTGATATAACTATTGTTTGATTGACTAATTTAAATTTGGCTAACTAGTATTAAATAAAGTCTAAAAAGGTAAAAATAATACATACCTAATGCCTGTCTAAATAATATGAAATATGTTGATTTCCCTGTATCAACGATTTGCAAAGATCATGAAATTTTCCTTGCCTTTCGAAAATATTGTGTTTATCTAATATTTAAAACGTTGGTTTTGGTTTTCCAGGTATCCCAAGTGCACATTCCCAGTTAGAGAAACTGTATGTAAGTGAAACGGATCTCAATATCCTCGTGGATGACACGCATCTAATGAAACTGATACAAATGTAAGTATATATAAACACCAACATTATTAGTTGTTTGACTATCATATTTTTAGGTAAAAATCGAAATGTATGTTTCTGACCACCGGACTATCTTTTAGAACATATTGAGAGATATTTAGCTCTTTGTTTCTTGCCACTGCCTACCACTATAGAGATAATATAGATTCTATTTTATTACAATCTGAATCTGATGTTAAGTAATCGGCGCCACACATGACCACCAGAGGAGTAATCGAGTGGGTTGTCGGTGTTTTGGGTTTTCGGTGATTTAGGGATAGAAGGAAAGGGGAGGGGAAGGATTGCTGCCGGTACCGGCAAAACAACGATGTTGTTTTTTCACGCTTGTTTTCTGTGAGGCCCTAGTATCACTCCAGTCGAGTCGGCTTATTCATGCCCACACTTGATCGCAAGTCTTAGGAATTAAAAATAATACTTTGTACTAGTTATAAGTATAACTAGTAAAATGTAAACTAGTACAAAGTATGCTCGATGAATGTGTATGCACTTCTGCACTACCTTATCAACGAGCCAATGTTATCTAATTATATGATAGTATTTACTAAATTCTATACAATAACTTTACAGTGGACAATACAATGAAAGCCTGCAAGTCACAGCGAACATCCAGCACCCAGACATCGTGCAATTTGTCCCCCAAACTATAGACATTCCAGGGTCTAAAGAACCGAACACGACAGTAAAGATCACATATGATATCTGCGCATACGCAAAGAGCCCAGGCCATTCTGAAGTCACTTTTAATGTAACGCCAGCTGGATATGTTAAGTAAGTATTTGAAATCGACGACTTTTGTTTTTTTGTGTTAGTTTTTTTAGCTTGACTAAATAATAGTTTTGTGTGATATGTCCCTCTTAATGCATTAAATCCCAAGCGAACGCATTCGCGCACCTATTGTTCTTATGTTGTGTCTTGAACCGTACCGTAAATGAAATTCAAAGACCTTTTATCTATACTTATAATATTATAAAGCTGCAGAGTTTGTTTGTTTGAGCGCGCTAATCTCCGAAACTACTGTTTCGAATTGAACAATACTTTTTTTGTTTGTTGGTCCATTTATTGAGAAAGGCTATAAGGCTATAAAACATCACGCTATGACCTGTAGGAGTCGAGCAGCGTGTGAAAAACGTTCGAAAAACTATCAAAGCATGATACAAAAAGTAAACCCCGCCCCTTGTGTTAACCGTAACATTCGTCGATTGTACCTCTAACCGCCCTCTTCCAGCATGGACTCTGTGTTCCTCCGTATCACAGTGATGCACTCCCACGCCATCAACGTAATCTCCTACATCATGGGGTGGATCTACTTCGCAGCCTGGTCCGTCTCATTCTACCCTCAAATCTACATCAACTTTAAGAGGAAGAGTGTCGTTGGCCTTAACTTCGACTTTTTGGCTCTGAACATCATGGGTTTCACCATGTATTCTCTGTTCAACTGCGGTCTTTACTTCTCCAAGGAGATTCAGGTATGTTTGATTATTTTGTTAATTTTTTTATGTTAAGTATACTGAGAACGACAATCGAACCTGATGGTAAATAATCGAATAGTGAACAACGGAGGAGTTAATAGTGCGTTGCCGGCCTTAAACTCCTTAATCCTCATGCCTTTGGAAGATTTAGGGGTTGGGGGAGAGGAACGATGGGGTTTCCGGTAATCTCACTTACAAATCAATTTTAGACTTGAATGTTGATGAATTTTTCACAGACAATCTGGAGAACATTTTCTCCTTTATCCATATTGGTATATAATAAAAACCCTCGTGTGATTGGATCCTCTTTTCCATTCCATCCAAACTTATATTATAAATGCGAAAGTAACTGTCTATCTGTCTGTCTGTCTTTCTGTCTTTTCTTCACGCCTAAACTACCGAACCGATTTGTGTGAAATTTGGTAAAGATATAGAAAGGAACTCGAGAAAGGACATAGAATAGTTTTTATCCCGAAAATCCCACGAGATCTGGAACTATATGGATAAAACAAAAGCCTGTAGGAAGTCACTATGCCACGCGAACGAAGTCACGAGCGAGACTGGTTATTGTATAATAGAGAAAATGTACTTATGGTGGCTATATTCTGTTTCAGAGTGAGTACTTCGCCCGTCACCCTCGTGGTCTGAACCCGGTACAACTGAATGACGTGTTCTTCTCACTGCACGCCGCTTTCGCCACTCTCATCACCATTACCCAGTGCTTTATCTATGAGGTGAGTTATATTCACTTTATCATATTCACTTTACTTGGTTTTTATTAGCGGAAAGACCTTTCTGTAGTGTTTACAGCCAGCGTCAAATATATAAGACAATTCAGAGTAGGTAAGTACTCAATTATACCTTATGTATAGGCGATTTTGTTGTACCGAAATTTTGGTGGTCTGTGTGCGTTTATATAATTTAGTACCCAGAATGTTCCTATATATTTGACGCTGAGTGTACTTTAAATTAAGTTATTGGTAAAAAAACAAAACTTTCATTCATTTATTAACTATACGATATATGAACGTATATTTCACATTAATTCAAGAGAAATAGGTTTCACGTAAAAACATTATGACTGAAACTATCTTATTATCATTTAATCACCTACTTTAGGAAGGAAAAATACCTAACCAAAAATCTCACTTCTTTCAGCGCGAAGACCAGCGAGTATCGACGACAGGTCGTAGCATCCTCGGCGTGTTCACAGCAGTTGTGATAGTCGCGGCTGGAGTGGGCGCCGCCGGCAAACTCGCCTGGCTCGACTTCCTTTACTACTGCAGTTACATCAAGCTTTCTATCACGCTCATTAAATATGTACCCCAGGTAAGCTATCTTAAAAGCATACGCAAAATTCATTAATACGACAGATTTCGCGAGAAAATAGCTACATGAAAAACGTAAAGTAATTAGGTATATTATGTATTTGGATTTTTAGATAAGACAAACGAGCAGACGGATTACCTGATGGTAAGCAATCAACGCCGCAAATGGTTATCCGCAATAACAGAGAAGTTACGAGTGCGTTGCCGACCGTTTGTGAACTAGGGATTTGGAGATTTAGGGCTTTTGGGGGAGGGGAAGGAATGAGTCTCCGGTAACCTCACCCACACGGCGAAACACAACGCTGTAGTTGTTTCACGCCGGTTTTCTATGAGGTCGTGGTATCACTCCGGTCGAGTCGACCCATTTGTGTCGAGGAATGCGCTCCCACACTTAACTAACCTAACCTAACTTTAAAAGACAATATAGGTCTTATGCATGTAATTTTACGATCCATTTTAATAACCCTTTCTCCCCTATTTCCAGGCTTACATGAACTACAAACGCAAATCAACAGTCGGATGGAGCATTGGCAACATTTTCCTAGACTTCGTGGGAGGTTCCCTGTCCATTTTGCAGATGGCGCTGAACGCATACAACTACAATGATTGGATATCTTTCTTCGGCGACGCGACGAAATTCGGCCTCGGCTTGTTCAGTCTTGTCTTTGATATATTCTTCATTCTGCAACATTACGTCTTCTATAGGTACGTACATTTTTAAATTATTATTTTGTCTTGATTTATAGGAGTTGTCGTGTTCCATTTTTTCAAATTTTATTTTATTTTATATTTTTGATGGTTTGATTTTTTTCTATACAATCTTTTCGTTTTATTTTTCATTTTTTATTTTAGACTTAGAATTTGAACGAATTGTTGTGCAAGTTTATTATTATATTTATATTTGACAAAGTTACTAAAAAACTTAAAATATAAAATCGTTCAAATTCTACGTCTTATATTGGGAATCTCATCAAAAATGGTGTAATAATTTACTATAAGTATTCATTCGCAATAAGAATGAAACAAATAACCAAAAATTTTACACACGACAACTCCTTTCAATTTTCGTTCTTCAGTGCTTATTAACAAGATGTGATGTGGATGGGAACTCTATGACTTTCTTATTCCTCTTACATCTTACGCGGTGGTGGTTCGAACTAACATTATTTCCTAAGCGTTTTGTTTTCACTAACGCTAAAACATTAACTCACTCCGTGATACGTCTATCTTCCGTTTATGAAAAAAAAACATGAAGAAAATCGACAAACTAACACTCAGACTATATGAAGAAATATCGCATTCATTGGACCAGAAAGAGATAGAAAATCAATGGCAACCGCTGATAAAAGAAGAAAGAAAAGGATACAAAGATTATTCAAATGAAGATAATGAAAATGGAGCTCTCGGAAATTGGACGAAGGACTACATTCATCTAAAAGGACTATAAACAAACTGAAATAATACTGGGAGAGAATACAAGAAGTGATGTATCGTAAAGTGCAACGAAAAACCAATTCATTCGATAAAACATCAGCATAATTGTTTTAATATAATATTTTTTGTAATTGAAAAACCTCATACAAAAACAATTACAAAAAAACACTGTCATCAACATCATCGGGATCCATTCGCTTCACGCTTTCGGCACGACATTAAAATTTGGGGACACAAAATGGCGGATTTTGACGCAATGATGAAGGAACGTTTTTTGTGGTATATAATTTCAGAGAGGGCAAAGAGTTTGTGAGGGTTAACAGTAGTGACGAAGGGTCGGAGTTGTCAAGCAGTAGCGAAGGGAGGGAGTTTTTTGTTTTGGTCGACGATTGGTATGTATAAGGCTAATTTAACACACGCTGTATATCTTACTCTCTTGGTACAATGGCTTGGTGTAGAGTAGTTTAGTGAGGTGGCGAACTATTCTTATCGATAATGTTCGATTTATTAAAAAAAAATGACTCATAAAAAGTAAATTTCAATTTAGTAATATAAAAAAAAAGTTTATTAAAAACATAATATCTAAATTCATTCTTTGACTTTAATTTCGATTTGACTTTAATTTCGATAGTTTTTTTAAAAATAATATTAACTTTAAAGATTCGCCACCTTAGCCGTATATTTAAACCCCTGGCCAGCTTTTTACCTTTTATTCCTATATTGTAGGCATGCCGACGAGAAAAAGTATGATCTGGACGTCAAAGCGTGATGAAGACCACAGCCATCCAGGACCCGTTCCACATGCTATACTAATTTAGTCCTAATTGTAACTCAGTAATATTTAATTTCGAACTACAACATTCAGATCGTTGCTGATGTCTGATTCTAGCTTTATTTGAATATTTTTGTTTTAGTAATTTAAGTTTTAAAGTAATAGCGTTAAGTTATGCAATGCTTTAACTTCTATCGATTTTATTTTGACAGATTATTTAAGTTCGATTACAATATTAATTTATAAATAACTTGCGATCAGTATTCATCCAGTTATTTGAAAATAATAGTTTAATTATTTGCAATATTTGTAAAGAAAATTCGAAAGGTTTTATGTCGTCATTTGTCTGATGTATTTTTTTTTAATCTGTCACCGCACTAAACTGTGTTTTGGGATACCATAGAGCAATGCAAAAAATAGGTTACAGTAAATTTATATTATCGAATTGAAGACATTGATTGTTACTAGTTAAGATACTTTGCCCAACAGAATATTATTATTATTATTTACTGTTTAAAACAAGATAAACAGACTGATTTTATTGTATTTAGAGCATTTATGATATTTGCGGGACTATTATTTTATTGTTCTATTATTATTTTTTCGTAATTATAATTGTTAATAGTCCTATTCAATCTTATGAAGATTAAAAGTTATTAAGAACCAAATTGTGAAAAAGCATGTTTGAAAAATATGCACACACGCACTTTAATAAGATTTATTTTTAATCACAGAAAATAATAGTGCTCGACCAAAACTTTTAATATTCGTAAGCGTTATGAAAAAGAAAAGAAAAAAACAAAAATTTTTATTTACAATTTTTTAATTATTGATATTTAATTTTGTTAAATGACAAAGTCATTAATCGTTTCAAGGATCTGTGATGACAACACATTTTATATTAAAATGTGAAATGATAATATCACTATTGTTTTTGATTGCCATCCTTAAAATAAGTATCGATATTTCCCATCCCTATCCTCTATCGACATGCAACAACACTATTTATGTTATACAACGTCAAATAACTGTTTATAATCTCAGTTCTATAGTTTATGGTCGATTGCAATAAGTTTATAGTTTAGTTTTAAGGTTTTGTTTATGGTATTTAATAAATTAATCTTGGTTTGGCTGTGTTTCTATTTTTATACCCTGATCTGAAATGAAATTGCTTTTTACTACTACTTACTGCTAAAGAACTTATAACCTTTAGAACTCAAATATGAAATTACAGACTTATAACTTAAAATTTAATTACTTGTCTGCTTGTAGACGCAATAGAAATTATTTGATTATTTTTTAAATAAAACGATACCCCACTTTAGGATTTTCTCCTGTGTTGTGGGTGCGTTTACAAATATAAAATGTCACATACACATGACACCCAGACTCGAAACAACAATTTGTGGATCTCACAAAGTGTTGTTCCGTGCGGGAATCGAACCCGCGACACGTTGCACGGCAGCCAGTTGCCCAGCCACCGCACCAACTGGGCAGTCATGAAGTGAAAATAGCTACTATTTTTCTAATTCCTACCAAGTTCTGTCACTATGGGTCGTTCTGTTACCATTTGACTTAAATACTATTGAACGTAACTGAATGAATTTTGACACAGATCTGCTGTTTGTTTGAACGCGCTAATCAGCGGAACTACTGGTTCAAATTAAACAATTCTTTTTGTGTCAACAAATGTGATAAAATATCACGGTACAATCTGTAGGAGCAGAGCAGCTGGTGAAGCCGCGCGAAAGTAGCTAGTATAGGATATAATCTGGAATAATACATAGGCTACTTTGTATCCTGGGACTCCAGGCGAAGTTGGTGGCTGAAACTAGTCCTAAATATTTAGGCTAATAGATCTTACTGACACGTCTGCCAAGGAGGAATGTCTTTGCTTAGTAATACCTCATTGAATGCCACATAGGTACCGTAGAAGGAAGGTTTAAGTGTGGGAGAGCCATGCTTCAGCACGAATGGGTCGGCTCGACCGGAGTGATACCACGGCCTCACAGAAAACCGGCGTGAAATAACCACTGCGTTGTGTTTCGTCGTGTGAGTGAGGTTACCGGAGGCCCAATCCTTCCCCTTCCCCAATCCCTAAATCTCCAAATCCCTAATCCCTAAAAGGTCGGCAACGCACTCGTAACTCCTCCGATTTTCCCCTCATAACAAAAAACTTGCCTCAATGCGTTATAAAATTAGATTGAGTGCCTAAATTCTTTATTGAGGTGGACCTATGAAAGATTATCAATACAACCTAATTGCAGCCTGAATGGTTGTTTAGGTTAGATTGCAATGGAAATGCGATCCGCACAGAAATAGAAATGTCATCAGAATTAAACATCTACAAGATATCGACAGTTTGCAATATTATTTATCTCACCGGCTAGGCCTAACAGAAAAATCTACACCCAAAATCAGCCAGGTTTGGGGCGCAATAATTTACGGTAACCTAACCTTGAGAAACGATCGGGTGGTTTTTAGTCGGTAAGAGACTGACACTTCCTCTCTCCTCTCACAGAATGGGAGAAGTCTATGATGAGAATCCGCCATAAAAAAACTTATGTCTGTACTACATTTATAAACTACTAAAACTGCTGACAAATGTTACCAAAAGTAACAAAAGACACCACCAAGGAGTTTAAATATACAAAACAAATGACACTGATTTATTATTTAGAGTAGAGAATCAATAAACACTATCTTACTTAGAATGCTGTATTGATATAATTTAGATGAAAAAATATTAGAATAAATGAAGACATCGCATCTCTCAGTAGTCAGTAAACACTTTAGAAGGGTGAACGTACGATAATGTTATGTCATGCCCTAACTGATATAAAATTAAAATTAAAATATAAATAAAATAATACTGTCTGTATGGTTCGCGTAGAAGGATTTCGCTGACAATGCGACCTTCCTCCTCCTCCTCGCGTCGGTTTCCTCAGTGCTTGTTGGTCGTGACCACCTCGTGGAAGCAGTGTACTGCGTATTACTCTCCGCCATCTATTTCTATCTGCCGCCGAGTGGAGAGCATCGTGGACTGTAGTGTTGAGAGTGGTGCGAATCTGATCGGACTTCTGCCTCTAGGTCTCTTTCCTTCCACCTTACCAGTGATTAGTAACTTTTCCAAGTTATCATTACCCCTTCTGGCAGTGTGTCCAAAAAACTCCAGAATCCTGCGGAGGCATATGGAAGAGAGCCTTGTCTGGATCTTAAGCTCCTGGAGGATCGATACATTGGTGCGGTGTGCCGTCCAAGGAATCCCTAGCATTTTTCGCCAACACCACATCTCGAAGGCATCAATGCGGTCACGATCGGCTTTCTTCAGGGTCCACGTCTCTGCGCCATACAAAAATATGGAGAACACCACTGTGCGCACAAGATTGCTCTTTGTTTTTAACGAGATGTTCTTGTCCTTCCATACTTTTTGAAGCTGTGCCATGGCTCCTTTTGCCATCCCAATTCTTCTTCGTATCTCTGATTCGCAAGAGCCATTGTTGCTAATGCCTGAGCCCAGGTATATAAAGCTGTCAACTACTTCCAGATCAAGTGTCCCAGTGAGCTCAAGCTTGCCTGAGCGATCTACAACCATGATCTTCGTTTTGGATCTGTTTATCGAGAGTCCCAGTTCTCCGCTGATGCGCTCCATTCTATTCAATAAGGCGAACATTTCTGCTTCATCTGACGCTAGTAGAGTGGTATCATCTGCGTAACGCAGATTACAAATTTTTTGTCCGCCGACGGCGATGCCACCATCCCAGTCATCACAGGTGTGCCTCATTATGTATTCGCCGTATATATTAAACAGAATGGGCGAGAGAATACAGCCTTGCCGAACTCCTTTTTCAAAACTGAATGTTTTGGATGTTGTCCCATCAATCCTCACCATTCCTTGACGGCTACTGTATAATGACTGCAGAAGTGCAGTTAAATGGCGAGGTACACCCAGTTCCGACAACACTCTCCAGAGACAGCTCCAGCTGACACAATCAAATGCCTTGCTATAGTCGACGAAGCACATCACGACTGGTGTAATTCATAACACTTCTCCACAATCTGCCTGATGTTGAGTATCTGTTCACGGGTGCCTTTTCCCTTCACAAAACCGGCCTGTTCTTGTGGGATCTGCCAGTCTAGGTAATAACGAACCCGTTTGTTTAAAATGTATAGCAGGACTTTGCTAGCGTGTGAAATTAGGGCGAGTGTGCGATAATTCTCGCATTTTTTCGAACCCTTCTTGTGTAAAGGAAGGATAATCGACTGAGTCCAAGTCTTGGGCCACTCACCGTTCCGCCATTCATGATTGCAGATATTGTGCAAAGTATCAACACCTTTTTCCCCTAGAGCTTTTAGCACATCAGCTGTTATTTGATCTGGACCCGGTGCTTTCTTAGTTTTCAGTGCTCCAATGGCTGCTACAATCTCCGACCGCAGAATGTCGGGTTCCAGGTCTAGAACAGGCCAGTCTTGTAGGGTAAACTCAGGATCTATTGAGATGGGCTTCTTGTAGAGATGTTCACAGTAGCAGCGCCATCTCTCTGCTATTGCGTCAAGCTCGTGCAGTGATCTCCCGTCGATGTCTTCGATGACCCATGATTTGGGCTTGAATTGTCTACTTAATAGGCGGACCTTCTTAAATAGATCTGATGTCTGTTGTTTCATAGCATGGGTTTCCACTTCGCGACATATATTAGTAATGAAGGTATTTTTGTCCCGACGGCACTCTTTTTTTATGACTCGGCAAAGGTCAGAATATTCCTTCATTACGTCATGGTTTTGTAGCCCTCTCACTTTCATATCCTTCCTTTTCTGGATGAGTTCCCATGTGTGGTCCGTTATCCAAGCTGTTTTCTTACAGTCCTTTTTTCGCTTCGATGCAATCTCAGAAAGAGACTCACGGATTCTCTTTTCCAGATCAATCCAGAGAGTATCAGCGTTAGACGTTGGAGGTGTTGGGTTTTCAGTGAGTTTGTCTTCGATCGCGTTCTGGAAGTGTAGGCGCTCAATAGGGTTCAAAGTTGTGGGTGGTGGTCGTGAGTGTGTTTTCGTCGCTTTTAGGCGCAGTGATAGGTAAGCGACCAGCAGCATATGGTCGGAACCACATTCGGCACCTGGAAATGTCTTCACATTTGTAATGGAAGATCTCCAGCGAGTATTTATCATAATGTAGTCGATTTGATTTCTATAACGATCGCCTGGAGATCTCCAGGTGTAGAGGCGTCTATGGTGATGTTTAAAGTAAGTATTCATGACACTTAGCTTCCTACCAATACAAAACTCGATGAGCTTTTGGCCACGCTCATTTCCAATGCCTAGACCATATTTGCCGATCGCGTCTCCGATGGTGTGATCCAGCCCCGTGTTGCCAACCTTTGCATTCCAGTCGCCGAGTAAGATTGTGATCTGCCGGCTAGGTATGTTATCTAGTGTTTTCTCTAGGTTCCCATAGTATTCATTGATATCCTCATCTGAAGCTTGTGCTGTAGGAGCGTAAATTTGCACGATATTAAGAAGGCATGGTTTAGTATTTAGCTTCATGCTGATGATTCGATCAGATACGGGATTGTATCCGAGGACAAACTTGTTCATTTTGGACGGCAAAAGTATGGCAACACCATTCCTGCTAGAGTCGTCTCTTCCTGAGAAATACAAAGTATTTCCAGTAGTGGTAGTAAAATGGCCTTGTCCACGAAGGTGGGTTTCACTAATGCCCAGTATAGAGATGTTGTGATTTTCTCTTTCATTGTCAACGATGCTCAGCTTTCCTGGCTGGAGTATTCCGTTTACATTCCAGGTTCCAATACGATGATGTGCACGTAATGAGATTTTAGTACCAGTAGCATTTCTTCCTAGGGAGACCTGGTGCTCTATCTCCCGGGAAGCATCGGTAGCAGATTTCACACCACGCGGCCCGGATACCGGGTGGCGCCGGGTGTCAGCCGGGGCGTCCGACAACACAATACATCTATTTCCTTTCATCATGAGGTGGCTTTCTTGGGAATATAAACATGGTGGGGTCCCGCGTCCTTCCATGTCAGTCTTTTAGAGGGGAATTTAATCCCTCACGGTCACTGGAGGCCGCTTCGTGATCGCTGGGTGGACACGGAGGTGGGTTACTTGACCGCCGCCCACTGCTCGGCGTTGACCTTTTACGGTTGGTTTCGTCATCTACCACTCCAACCCTCCTCCTTTTGCATCCGGGCTTGGGACCGGCAATGGCGGAGTTATGCGACCTTAATAATCTACAAAGTAAACCTTAATAATCTACAAGTAATGCGACCTTAATAATCTACAAATGGGTTGCGGGTGAAACGCAATAAGTTACCGCAGTCTCGGGAGCTGCCCCGGCCCGGAGCAGGAGAAGGAATATTGTGGATTTTTAGGCTGTAAGAGCCTGAGTTTCCCTCACGCATCAACCGAGAGAAGTGACTTGATGATTTTATCCCCTCAAAAAAAAGGTTGCCCGATAAGAGTGTCTGAGAGCCAAGTCGCTTACCTTTAAATATAAGTCTCAGGTTTCTCTCGATCTCTATTCAGTGTTGGGTTTCTCAAGGCGTTGCTATCTGAGACCATATGGTTCTGGACGCTCGCTTGTAGGAGGAGTTACAATCATCAAAGGACTTCTCCTGTTCTGGGTCACTTGAAAGGGAGTGTCAGACTCTCACTAACTAGAAACCACCCAGTTCCTTTTCCTGCTCCAGGCCGGACTTCGGTACATTTCGGGTTGTAATACCCGTCTATTGCACCCTTTCTGGCTTAGCCAGCAGCTGATGCTGCATTTCTATCAGAGTACTGACACATCACTCCTACACACATCATCCATCCCACTCATTCAGTCAGTCGTCTTCCAACCTTCTTCCCGTGCATTATATTTGTAAATAAATTAAGTTGATTCCTTACAGCCAAAAGTGTTGCCTTTTTAAAAAAGTGTAACCTAGACCGGTTAGTAACAGGGCGATTGCATCCGCAACCTTTACTACTACTACTAAACTTTCTACTTTTGGCACTAATTGAGTCACGTGCACTCTCTGATGCTAAGACACAGTCCTCCAATCGAAAAGGGTCTAACTGCGAATGGTGCAATGACGCCGTAGTGCTTCTGCACGTGTTCACCTTGACTGGTTAACAGTTTCTGAACCCAATATGAAATTAGAATTAAGAAATGTTATTTGGGTATTGTCAATACCCTGCAGCTGATTGACAATACTGTATTGTCAATCAGCTGCAGTTGCGAGTCAAGCGCAATGTACCGCAGACTCAGCCTGGCCTTGCCGGCCATCCCCTTGTATCAGCAAAGGATGCTATTTTCTTTATATTTTACTGTAGACACAAACAAATGAACTAATTTCTCCTTATCACAAAACAAGATTTATCTTTTGTTTAAATCATTGAGTCAGGTTTTGTATTTCGAATCTTATAATCTTATTGTCACCTACCTTCAGGTAGGTGACAATAAGATTCAAAATTCAATACTTGACTCAATGGTTTAAATCTAGACTTAAGATAAGTCTTGTTTTGTAATAAGTGGCTTAAAGTTTATTGTGTAGGTGTAACAAATTCCAAAATTATGTTTATTTATAAAATAATTATAATAAATACATTATAATTATATTACTCTGGTTCAAATTGAAAATTTGAATAATATTTTTAGGTTGAACTTTCTTTAGAGGCAACTAATACCCTCTAGTATCTTATAATGTTATAATTTAAATAATCTTAATAAACTATGAACCATAAACTTACACAATCAATTTTCTGTCAACAGAGAGGCTCGGTACATTCTTCTGCCTGGAGCTACCTCAACAGAAGACCTGACTCATGAAGCCCAAGAGCAGCCATCGGAGGAACCATACCAAGGCGCTCCGGCGTAACGGCAGAAGAAAACACAAGGATATACTCTTATCTCTTTCACTATTACCAAAAGTGATGAAGTGCGAGAGAGAACGAAGATGTTACCCTCATGAGGTATGGAACTTTTCCTTAAATGAAGAATGAGATTATGAATGGAGGAGGATGATGTTCCTTTTGGTTGAAAAAGATCACATTGTAATGGCATAATGCCATGTTATCATGGAGAAGTAAATACTTTGATGGATATTTAAGAACTAAATGAAAATAACTACAGATCTGAAGGCAATAACGAAGCACGGAAGTTAGTTGAAATGTAAACAACAGTATATAAACTGTTAAATAAAATAAACGTAAACGCGTTGTCTATTACCGAGCGTACCAAGTCAGCGACGAAATAGTGTTAGATTTTGTTTTAAATTTAAATTTAGAACATTCCTATTTTTTTCATGCAAAATGTTTTTCATGACAGTAGGTTTTATGTAATTTGGATTAGTTATGATCCGTTCAGATACATTTTTATTAATAGATAATTATAATTAGTTTAAATTCAAAATTACTGTTCTTTTGCACGTTGGTGGTGGTTTAATGGCCGGTACTGGAACATTTTTCATCAATATATGATGTGTTGTAAACGTATGAATTTTTTTTAATATATAAGTAAACAGTTGATTATAAGAGCTAATACATGTTAACAAAAAAGATAATCCTAATGGTCTCATGCTCATGAACGAAGAATTGTCTTCCAACTAAAATTTTGATAATATGTCGCTGACCCAAACCATTTTTCGAAGAAATTGTAGCCTTTTTAACAAAGAAAACGCTTAAGAGACAATGCAGCACTTATTCAAATAACACTATAATGATTATAATACGGCTTATCTTATAAAACTATGTCATTTCAACTAAAACCTCCTTTATAATGGTTACAAAACGCCTTCAAAGTGATACAAATAAGACAATAACTTTATAGAACTGCAAGATAAATGAGTGAACTGTGAATTGACAATCAAAAATGTGACTTAAGACCCAAGTGATAAGTGTGCAAACAAAGTGAAGGCAAGACAATAAAATTGTGAGGTGTTTCTTTTATTGAAGTAAGGATTTAATTTTAATTAACGCTTAGTTTTAAATGTTTATAATATTTACTCTGGGATCAAAATAATGTGGCAATTTAATACTTATAATTATGTATAAGCAATATATTAAGTATAGGATTATTATTATTTTTGATTTTAAACAATAATTAATCTTATGCTTTTTATTTATTGTGCATTAATTTGAATGTATTTTTTTAAATGGTAATAGTTTATTTCTACTTAGATTAAATAGTATTTAGTTGTATTTTAATGTTGACTAAGGCACAGGTTTATGAGTGGAATTCTTTTTAAGAGTTGTATTTTGTTACGGCGTTACGAATCTGTGTCTTACTTAGAATAGCAATATAATATTAATTAATTTAGGGCTGATTTTTTAATAGTCAGATAAATGTTACTGAGAAAAAAAAATGTTGCTGTAACTGTCTCATACAAACATTCTAACGCGACAGCATCATAATGATTCCCCAGATAATTTTATATAACCATTGAAAAATCCGCCCTAAAAGTGCAAATAGATGATCGAACCGAATAGTCAATTTTATCCGCTCTGGGCCATATTTGTCGATGTGTAAGCTTTGACAAGAATTTGTAATGTAAAAGTAAAACCGGCGTGAATCAACCACAGCGTTGTGTTTCGCCGTGTGAGTGAGGCTACCGGAGGCAAAATCCCTTCCCTTCCCCCATCCCTTTCCAATCCTTAAATACCCATACCCTTATCTCTAAAAGCCCGACAACGTACTCATGACTCCTTTGGTGTTGTAGTTGCCCATGAGCGGCGCTGATTGCTTACCATCAGGTAATCCGCTTGCTCGTTTGCGTGCCTATATCATAAAAAAGTGACGAACGAAAGTACCGTGAGGGTTCGGTTCGATCCGGTCGGCTTTTGTTTTTAAATCCATTACTTTAAGTATAATCGCTAGTGCATAATTTTAGTTTTAATCATATCATTATTTATTATATTGGTACACATAATGCAATATGATCTGTAATGATTATTAATTGAACCATAGGACAATTATTTTGGTAAAGATCCAACAACTCATTCGGACGGACATCTGAGTTTGTTTCGGCATTTCTTCTCAGAGTAGTCAGATAGGCAATGCCGGCTTCGTCTAGTTTTTTACATATAATTTTGACGCGTAGAAATGCTGTTTTATGGCCTAAATAAATTTATTGTTTATTTGGATTTCCTGTTGGAAATATAAAAATATTGATGTACCAATATAATTAGCAGCATGCCCTTGTTTCGACCAGTTGTCTTGCTACCTCGCTGATGACATACGACAAATAAATATATTTTTCAAAAAAGTATTTTATAATAGCATGCAACGGCACGAATCAGCCGACTAGATCGGAGTGTTACCACGGCCTCACAGAATACCGGTGTATTAGGTCAGCAAACGATCAGACGGATTACCTGATGGTAAACAATCGGCGCCGCCCATGGATACCCGCAACGGAGGAGACACGAGTGCGTTGCCGACCTTTTAGGGATTAGGGTTTTGGGGATTTAGGGATTGGAAGGGATCGGGGGAGGGGAAGGATAGGGCCTCCGGTAACCTCACTCACACGGCGAAACACAACGCTGTGGTTGTTTCACGCTGGTTTTCTGTGAGGCCGTAGTATCACTCCGGTCAAGCGAACCCATTCGTGCCGAAGCTTGGCTATCCCACACTTAAACATTATGCAACGAATAAATTTAAATAGATTGGTATAATGCATAAAGCCCAGCACTAATTAAATGATTCACCGAATGATTAACGAGATGATACTAGTCCATTACCTTACGTAATACAGATCAAGATCATGTTGCATTTGTTGATATTATTTATGTTATGTGATTAAAATACATTCCACTATTTAAATGTTATACAATTTTATTAATTTTATATATATTAACAATATAAATAGTGTAAAAAAATAATAAAAAGAATCCGGACGGCGCCGGTAGTCAGCCGATGACTCGATGTATCTGTTTAAAAATAAGTCAACCTTATTGCATAGTATGAGAAGGTTGGAAATCAATCGCATTGTAGATTGGAATATCTCGTCTGTGCATTTATTTACCTACACAGCAGCACATGAATGTAAACTGTTGAAATCCGGGCCTTTTTTACATAAGGACAACCTCATGCTTCAGGCAGGTTGGTTTATCAAAACTCATTGTTGCAACGTCACTGCCTAACAAGATCCTTCCTTGGCTCTAAAAACCGATAAGGATAGGAGTCAAATGTATTCTAATCTGCCGACATTACTCGACAAATAAATATACAAAATAAAGCAATTTCTCGCATCGGCAAATTTTCATCAAAATTCATTCAGTAGTTTTGAAGTGAAAGAGTTGTAAACATACATCCAAGCAGAATTAAAAATATCGTTTAAAATAATAGATCTTTACCTATGAAATTGCCGTTGTGCATGAAAAATTTTAAACGAATTTTTTGATATGAAATGCGATGAAAATGTAACACAATTAACAAATGACTATTTTTGGAAAAAGAATCCCATGTTTTTAAAACAAAATTGATTAGCCTTAGCCTAACAAAAACTATTTTGATTTGAAATGGCCAGTACTGCAGAACGGCAATTTCATAGGTAAAGACCTATTATTAAAATAATATGCAATGTATTTTGGTTTTAAGTAATCAAATTATAATCCTTATTTAGTAAAATAGAAATAAAAGTGAATAAAAGTGTTTAAAGCAATAATTTATCTTATGTCGACGTGCACTGGAAACACATTTGTTTGTTTCGTGCATTTTTATATTTAAATATTTAACCCGACAATTACGAAAGCAATATTTAATATTAATTTACTTGTTTTGTCATTCTTGTATGCGTAGAAGTAAGGTGGTGGAAATGTAATTTGTATTTTTAATAAATGCTAACTTATAATTTGTTTTTTACTTGGAAACTAGTTTTTTGTCGTTTCATTTTTAGATTCTCTGAAGGTCGTAGAATGAGATATGGTCAGCCGTGCCGAAGCATGGCTTTCCCACAATTGACTCCCTCAGAAAACAAAACATCCTAACAGTACGCTTACAATTCGTCTGCAAAGGGCCTTACTAATTATCTAGTAGTCAGCGGAAAAGCTTAATCACTACCGCAGTGTAATAAAAAAAAGCGGAAACTAACATGTCAATAAAATTAAATAAACTATACGTCATTTTAACGACACAGTCACGCGGTAGGACCTGTGTTCTGTTTACCCACAGATAACAAAAACTCATGTCTGGAAGCTCAGTCATGTGACACACTATCGCATGTCTGAGAGGAAATATCGCTAATGTAATTTATTATGCAGTAAAGCTATCTATTTTGTTATTAATTTAATTATAGATACTACAAACTTAGCTCTTAAGGACATCATTTTACATTTTAAGTGTGGGAGAGCCATGCTTCGGCACTAATGGGTCGGCTCGACCGGAGTGATACCACGGCCTCACAGAAAACCGGCGTGAAATAACCACTGCGTTGTGTTTCGCCGTGTGAGTGAGGTTACCGGAGGCCCAATCCTTCCCCTTCCCCAATCCCTCCTCAATCCCTAAATCTCCAAATCCCTAATCCCTAAAAGGTCGGCAACGCACTCGTAACTTCTCCGTTGCGAGTGTCCATGGGCGGCGCTGATTGCTTACCATCAGGTAATCCGTCTGCTCGTTTCCCGAACTATAACATAAAAAAAACATCAAGCTACGAATACATAAGACATTTTCAACTTTATTTGTTCCGTTTTAAAGAAGATTTTTGATTGTTTAACAGATATCTATAATTATTTTTTTACTATAAACTTACACGTAGTGAAATGCCCGTCATGTGACACCTTGTCAAGTAAGTAATTCTCAGTTTTACTTCTTTTGTTTTAAAGTACATTTTTGGTTGGATAGATGCAAAAGAATCGAAAAGTCTAGCATATTTTGCTCTGAAATGTAGGTATGCGGGCTAATTATTAAGTTGTAAACACCAAGGGCTTCCACTACATGTATACGTAGATTATTTAACCATAAATACCTCTGTTATTCTTTAATGGGATAATATTACTTACAGATAAAAATAAACACATTCTTTTTGCTGTTGGTTGGTCTAATTTTGTATGATAGTTAAATTAAGCCAACGACGGTTTTTTTAGATTTATTTTA